CCAAAAACTCTCATGTTGCAATCCATCTACACTCTCGAAATGCCAGTTGACCATCTACAGCTCTCAGGCTACAAATTCAAACAAAACTGCTCCTGATACCACCCCGACACTGCTGCCAGTTTTGAACCAATGGTACCGTTCATCTGGAGCATGAACGTACGGCCTCAGTGAAAGCATGTGCTTTTAAGAATGACTTACTTGCCTACAGTAATAATTCTGGGCATCAATTGACGTAAGACTTATCTCTTTCTCAAAGACTAGGCTGCCACATTCACAACTCACCAAGCAAAACCAATAGACTTCCTTGTACAAGTACATGCATGCGCAATGTGGTTCTTTCAAACGTACCAGCTCCGAATGAGCGCTACTTTAGCAAAAGTTCCTTCTACAGAAAGGAGCCTGGAAAGCTGCGCGTCTCGGTGAATAACCTGGGGCTGAGGCATGTCCTTCTCATCTGCAGCAACGACTAGGTAGCGCAGCCAGAAGCAAAGTAGTAAGACCAGTGGCTTCACCGACGCAGTATCCATCTTTGGGAAAGCTGGCAAGCAACTCATACCTTGGAAGGGTTGCAGTCAGAAGACTCTTCAGTGTCAAAAAAGGTCTAGAATATGATAAACATTGCATACTATTATAACTATTATATCATAATGCAATAGTACAAGCATGATTGTTAAAAATATCAAGCAATAGTAAAAAACACTGCGAAAATATAAACATCCCCAGGAAAACACCAGTCTCAGTTTTTTCCTCAATCCTATACGACAAGTTGCGCTTTTTAAGGTGCAAAAGAACTATTGAATCATGTGCTGAAGATTACTTGCAATCCTTGATAAAAAAAAGTCAACGAGAGCATTTCCTGGCAAAGTTCCCTACCCAAATATTACAATTATCTGTGCGCTCTCAAGGCCAAATCGAGGAGAACATGCTAAAGGCTTTTAAAAAACTGAGACTTCTTGAAGAGTCCTTTCCATTTCAGTCTTGTTCCATATGATATGTATGATGCTTTATCAAAGTTCACGAGGTTTGGGATTCTTGGGGCGAAGTGCGATTTGCAATAATCTGTAGTTTTGAAGCCGCTGGGTGAGGTTCAATTTGTTGTAGCGCCAGCATTTCATTTGGAACCTTACAAAATGTTTGGCACAAAGAAAATTATGAGAACAAACAAAAGAAGGTTGCTGATGTTTCTGATCATTTGCAATGTCGTATCCTATGTCTACCGGATTCTCGTTCACCCGCGTTCAAACATGGGTTTCCTTTGTGTCAGATTGGTTTGAATAGTTGGGCCGCACAGCTGATGTGACTTTGTGGTCCAAAGTCTTTCTTGTTTGATTGTTCAATATAGTTTAATCATGTTTAATCATATAATCAGTCATATATAATCATTTTCTAGAGAGACCATGCCAAAATTGATGTTCTCATTTGTTTGTTCTCATAATTTTCTTTGTGCTAAACATTTTGTAAGGTTCCAAATGAAATGCTGGCGCTACAACAAATTGAACCTCACCCAGCGTCTTCAAAACTACAGATTATTGCAAATCGCACTTGGCCCCAAGAATCCCAAACCTCGTGAAATTTGACATGATGTTTGAGACTTATGAAGATATACCGTTACCGCTAACATAGATAACCATTCATATTCTTGAGGCTTTGACATCCTTGATTCATTTTGCACTCTCTATCCTATCCCATCAACAATGCATTTTGATGCGACAGCGCGCAGGCTGAATTGCATTCTCATCCCAAGGTGGTTTGGATAGGCTGGCTGTGGACAGGCCCAAGGTTTCGGAAACAAAACTAAAACATCTACAGTAAAACACTGATCTTTTTGAAGACTCAGACATTGGATCGTTTATGATCGTTTTGTTTTTCCTGGACTCTGCTTTCCTGAAAGATAACTTAAAAGGATGATGCATAGGGGAAGAGGCATAGCAGAATCAGTATGTGAACATGTCCCTTGCTTGTGCAAGTATATTTTCCTGAAATCTTGTGCATGTTATGTTTATTCCTAGGGCCCACTTTCGCCTTTCGCCTAAATTGCTCGGTAACTTAAAGGTTCCCTAGGAAAGTGACCAAATTGCGGTTTTATATAATCCTGTGATTTTTGGTTTTATTGAATCCTGTTCTTTCTTGTTTTCTTTCCTATGTTTTCCTGTAATGAATCAAACTTGAAGTTCTTATAATGTATTTTTGAGGTGGGACCTTGATTCCTTATATATACAGTATATATATATATATACGGGGTCCTGCTACAGGAAAAAATACTTGCACACCAAACACCAGACGGGGATAATATAGTTTTTGAAATGCAAGCTCTGCAAGGTCGCATGTTAAAGCCGAAGAACAAACACCCCAATGGGCCCAGTTGCAGCACTTCTCGATGCGATGAGTCCCATGTTGTGCCAGGTCGAACAAGTCCTGGTTACTGCCCTGCAGTCGCTCCAGGACTTCCTCCTTCGATTCTAACGCCAATTGGATACAATCAGATCCGATCAAAGCAGGACTCTCGCTTGGTTTCTCGTTTCTGGTTCCGGCAACTTCCCAAATTCATGGCAATTACTGACAGAACTGGTGTCTACGTCTCGCTCGCACTCTCTTTTCCGTTGGGACCTTTATATAATAGGATCTGCTCACAGCAAGTTAACCAACAAAGGTAACGGCCCTTACAGCTTCAAATGTTGCACTCTTCTTCACTGAGGAAACCACAAATCCCCACCAAGCCCAAGTCCCCAAAGGCGTTCACATCGAGTCTTGGAGTGTTGGACCTCCATCTCAAGCTATCTTGGGGGGGCATCGAGTGCCCACCTTGTAGCTGTCCGGATCAATTCCTTCGGGTGTACTGATGGCATGCTCAGTGACCACCTCAGGCAATGCAACGAAAAAAAAGATCATCATGACCCCGACTTGCATGTTAGCATATGTCTCCTCAACAAGCTCGTTGCGAAGATTCCTTTGTGCTGACAAATGCTAGACTGTGGAGGCTGAGCAAATCTGCACAGGTAGAGGCCCAGGGGTGCTCACTTCCCTGCTGCGCACAGAAAGCAAGCTTTTCATTGACAAGCTTGACAAGGTGCTGCCAAGTACTTTGCCAGGAAGTCTAGCACGATCTGGTCAGCCACTGCATCTTTGACATGACGAAAGCCACGTAGAAGCCCCAAGTAGCAAATTGCTTGCCCGGCACCTGCCAGGGACATAGAGTCATGTCAAATTATCCTCCAAGCTCCATGGCCGAATCATCCTTCTTCAGTAAAGTTCTATTGTCTTATTCTACCTGTTACTTATTTAATATACTTAATTAATGCACACGCTAACGTATATGTTCTATATGCTTGATGTTGTTCGTAGGAATTTTAATTACATGTACAGTATATACATGTACATGCGCAGTCAAGGACCCAAGGATGCAGCAACCACTTCTCAAAAATCGGTTGCAAACGTGTCATCTTTGGATATCTTTGGTGCATCTCAGTCACCATCAAACACTTTGGTCTGGATCTCTGCAAAAGGGGCAGCATCATCGACAAAAAGGCAGCTACCCCCAAGAACGCCATCCCAGTTGGGCCGGCCAGAAGGGAACTTGTCCTGGCAAGTCACGAGCGGCCATGGCTTCGTCAGCACATCAGTGCTCAGGTCAACTTCTTCTCTCCAGAAACCACCGTCCGACTCAGTCCTCCACCACCCATCGCACGAACGACTCGCACACTACCGGGTACCGATCCGCCACGCCGTGGATCTGTTGCGCCTCCTGGCGGTTTTGGCACTTAGACCATGCTGAAGACCGGACCTCCCAGAAAATGAACAAAATCAGTGTTAGTAACTGAGCTGTATGTGACGATGTGGGGGAGGTGGTCGCTTGTGTTTGAGCATCTTGCCAATGTCCTCGACTAATTCCGGTGTAGTGGAGTACACGGCACGCTCACCTCGGCAAGCAGCTCTCATTCATCTGGTTCCCGGGGGCATAAACGATACTTCTGTGATCTTCTGTGATTCTATATGTTCAATGCCCGTTTGGAGTGCATGCAGCCAGGCAACACACCATGCCGGGGAATTTCCATTTGCTTTCGATGTACCTCCGACTGACTATTCAAACATATTCAAACACCGACACACTCTGTGGCACCACCGCTTCATGGTGCAACCTCAACATGTGACGCGGAAGCAGCAGCTTTATCAAATGCTGAAGCCTCTTGACTTGTGGACACATGTTGGTCCAAAATCACGGCCCCTCTGCATTCTCAACATCAGGCCACTGACGCATATCCTGACCGTATGCTTTGGCTGCCATCGCCAACACCGCTGCTGGAACCAGGGGATCTCCAAGCCTGAGTCGGCATGGGCGGCACACAAAGGCCCACACTGCATCTGTGTATGTGACAAAGGCCCACGCAAGCTCGGGCAGCTCGGGCAGGTTCAAAAATGACAAAGTGCAAGGCGAAAGGGTCTACCTCTTCCAAGAGATGAGCAAAAGCCAAGCTCTTCGTTGAATTTGACTGAGCATCGAGGACTGAGCATCGAGGGTCTATCTCCTCCAATCTATTGAAACACAAAAAAGCAAACATAAGTTAACATAAGCAAACCAACCATATGCAGAAACAGCAGGTAGGCCAAATCCATGCAACCCTCAAAGTTGGATACCACATGACATGATAGCACCCATTGAACAGCACTCTGATAGGCTAGGTTTGAAATGATCGGAAGTACTATCGGAAGTAAGATAAACAAAAATCCATTCAAGCTCTGTGCCCGTACCTTAGTCACAATCATATCTTTGCTTACTACATACCTTCTGCAACCTCAATTCGCTGTAGGATGTTGTGGTTCTCATCACACATCAGGTCGTCTATCATTCAATCGGCGCAAACCTCAAGGGGTTGCAGTACAAGTTATAGGCAAACGGTTGATGTTTTTCAAAAAGAATAGGGCACAGAACAAATGTCGCAATTCGATAAAGGTGACTGTGCTCATCCCCGCCCAAGATCTGAAACACTTGATTTTCTATCGTGGGCCGATACGGGCCTTACGGGATGAGGCATGGTCTGTCTTTGCCCCCATCCCGGTGCCGTTGCGGTATCTCTTGAAGGCTCTTGAACCACTGGCCGCGCCAAAATGCGGGATGCGACCATCGGGGTTCGAGGCAACAGCAAGCCAGGCTCGAATAGTCTTCGATCTTCGAGCGGACCTTCCGCTCCTCCAGGTCTCCCACACGGCACAGCGGGAGCATGAACTCGGACTCTTTCCGGGGGCATTCTAACTCCTCCACTCCGTCCTTGCAAGTCTCCAGCAAGTGCAGCAACCAATCAGAGGGATCAAAGTTCTTCGTGTTGTGAATCGACAGAAAAAGTACAGGCACACCTTGAGGGTACCATTTGGGATCAAAGAAGAGGTTTCGATCTAAGCTCTTCCGAAGAAGGAATAAGTTCGGCTCCAAGTCAAACTTGCACCACGCTTTGCTGACCTTATGCCGCCAAAGGTTGACATTGATCATATCTTCATCTTCCCACATTGCATTGCTCATCTCCACGTGCCGACTGACCTTAGCCTTGTTTCCTTGCCTCACTAGGTCCATGAGGCCCATGGAGCCGTTCCGCACCGTCTCCAAATCGTGGATCACAGTAGAAGTCCGTCTTCCAGTGGCAGCGAGCATGCGTTCATGCATCAAGTCACCGAAGAAGATCACTGCCCAAAACGACCAAGTTGGGTGGGCATGGTTCCATCGCATGGTCTGAGGACCATCCCAACCTTTGAAAGCATAGTGCGCGTATGGGTTTCCAGGTGTGTCATCACGAGACATCCAGTGTACTGGCAGGATGGGCCAAGGGTAGCGCTCATTGCACTCGCGCTTGGTGCCTTCAAAGACTTCATCCATCCACTTGAAAATGAGTTGGTCAGTATCCAATTGTATGCCAACAATCACTCGAGCAGCCAGGATAGACCGAATCTTGTTGAAGTTGAAGGACACCCCTCTCGAGATATGGCGCATTCTAAAAACAATGACATGACGCATGTTTTGCCAGAGCAGGGGTGGTACAAACTCATTCCCAAAGATCACCACAACCAAAGGCCGAGTTGAAAAAAGGTCAATGGAACGAATCAAGTTTGTGGCTTGCCATTCGAAAGTACTGTCCCTTGGACCGCCGACATATGTCACATAGGCTTCCTCAATCCAAGGAGAAGAAGAGCTAGTCCAGCGCTGAAACTGACTAAGGAAATCACACTCAAGCCACACCTCCATTTCAGGTGCGAGCAGCCTGTCCTCACAAAGCTTTTCAGTGGCTCGCTCTAACAACTCTTCTGCCTCTGAATGTTTGTGACCCTTTTGCGGCTTCAAGGACAAATGCTTCTGACAAGACCAGATCAACTCATTGGGGCGCATCCTCTCGCAAAGCTTGGAGGAATGTACTGGTGACAGTGCAGACCTCTGCATCCTCGCAACACAGCCAGCCCGACACGGCTTGTTAATTCCTTGAGGGCAACGTTCGGGGTGGTAAGGCTGCCCTTCTGGACACTTAAGGCCTCCAGTCTTGCATTGGCAATATTTTACCTTTCCAGGCGAAATGTCCTTCTCTGGAGTCAGCCCGTACTGAGCATGAATGCAAAGAATGGGAGATTTGGGTTCATTCCTCTCCACCCACTCATCTTTGTCAAAGTCTCCATACCTCGTGATTCCACCATCGCAATGACATACTTCACCCTCTTGCACGCAAAACATCCAGCCATCTGGCCGAAGATTGTGCAATTGCCTTGAAATCGTTAAGGAATCTCGGCCATCGGAGAGAGTTTTCCTCAACATATTCAAGGCTTCAACTTCTTGGAAAGTTGCAACCCCATTGATCCAAGCCACGAGCTCTTGCTTCATTGAGAGAACCCTTGGCATCACCCACCTACTTTCACTTTCTTGAAAGCTGTCGCTCTTTTGGCTCACCTCCTTAGCATCCTTTGGCTCGTTCGGCTCGCTTTCCCCTTCCAAGTGGTCGCGGCGAAAACTCTTGAGCGCCGACGTGCTGGGCACTGCATCTGACACCGGGCTAAGTGGACTTTGCAAATAGCACCAGGTGAGAAAAATGATTAGAACAATCGCAACTCCCTGAAAGTAAGTTGCCCAGCTGATCTTCCTGATGCGCATTTCACCTCGCTTAGTCCAGTGCGTACCGGTCCATCTTCAAACGATCGCTGGCAAGCATGGCGCATTGCACTGACTAAAGTAAGGCAACTGAGCCTGCTTGCATCAAGATTTTGCAACATGCAGTATGTAAATGTAAACATCTCCGAGGACATGACCCACACCAACGGCCACCTATATATATATATCTATCTATCTATCTAATATATCTACCTGTGTGTGTAGTGCTGTGCACATTGGCTCTCTGGCAGAAACACACGCCATATGCCCGTGTGAACTCCAAGCCGCACAGCCAGTGGCACTTCGTGCTCCATTTGCCGGATCCGCGCAGTGGCCGCCAAATAGCCCCCCCAGCGTGCGAAAGGAACCTTCTTTCAGGTCCTCCAAGCGCTGACCTAACTGGTCACGCACAAAGACAGCGCATAACATACATAATTACATATTCTAACTATTTATGGGACAACACCTTGATTAAGGACTCACCTCTTTTCCGCAAACCTGCTGGATGGCTCTCTATCGT